AATATATTTTATTGATTTTTTACAGAGAGGAAGGGAGAGAGATAGAGAGTTAGAAACACCGATGAGAGAGAAACATCGATCAGTCGCCTCCTGCACATCACCTACTGGGGATGTGCCCGCAACCCAGGCACACGCCCTTGACCGGAATCGAACCCAGGACCCCTCAGTCCGCAGGCCGACGCTCTATCCACTGAGCCAAACCGGTTTCGGCATGAGCTACAACGTTAAGGTGGCTGTGATGTCACTAGGCCGTAGAAATTTTTCAGCTTTGCAATGAGTGGTAACCAGTTGGATTCCCAGTCAGGGCACATACCCAGGTTGCCAGCCTCCATCCCCAGTAGGGGGCGTGCAGGAGGTGGCTGATCTTTGGCTCTCACATTGATGTTTCTCTCTCTCCCTCTCCCTCTCTAAAAATCAACAATAATAAAAACCCCACTCATTTTTATTTTCACTTCTGAAGTTCAGGAATCTGAACTCAGTCTCACTGGGCTGACATCGAGCCCTCCGGATCTCTGGGCAGAATCGGTCAGTTCCCTGGCCTTTTCCAGCTCCTGGAGCTACATTCCTTGCATTCATTGCCTCTGCCCCCTCCTCCATCTTCAAAGCTGCAGTGTAGCATCTTGCCTCAGGGTCACACTGTACAGTTAGGGAGCACCTGGATATCTCACGATCCTTAGCGTCATCACACCTGCAAAGTCCCTTTTGCCAAACCACAGTGCCTGTGTATTGCTGCCTGATATTCACAGGGTCCAGGGATCAGTGCCTGCAGATCTCTGGGGACCATTTTTCAGCCTCCCCAGAGAATATTACCATTCAAATAAGGTGGTCAGGAAAGGCCTCAGAGAGGAAAGGAAGGAAGCCATGCAGAGATCTGGGAAAGAAGCTTCCAGACAGACGGAGGAGCAACTACAAAGGCCAGGAGGAGGCAGGAGGCAGCCATTCTAAGATGGCTCCCAAACCTCCGGCCTCCTGGTGTTCACGCCCTGAAGTAACCCCGCCCTGAGCATGGGCTGCATGTAGTGACGTATCCTAAGGAATGAAATACAGCAAAAGTGATGGACTGTCCCTTCTGACATTAGGTTATGAATATGAAAGACAGTGACTTCCCTCTGTGCCCCTCTCTCTGGCTCTGCTTGCTTTCTTGCTTTGATAAAGCCAGCTGGCCTCAGAGATGCCCACATGCCAGGGAGTTCCCTGCTGACATCCAGCAAGGAAATGAATCCTGCCAGCAACCACCTCCTGAGCTTAGTGGTAGATTGTTTCTAAGTTGAGCTGAAGGCCTGCAGTTGTATTCAATTCCTGACCTACAGAAACCATCCTATATAATAAAAGCCTAATATGCAAATAGATCGAACAGTGGAATGACCAGTCGCTATGATGTGCACTGACCACCAGGGGGCAGACGCTCAATGCAGGAGCTGCCCCCAGCCTGCAGGCCCCAGGCCAGCCAAGGCAGGTGCCAGCGGGGGTCCCCAATCGCTCCACCAGTCACCCCACAGAGGGAGGCAACTGGCGGCAGCAGCAGGGGGCAGGGCTGGCAAGTGGGCGGTGCCAGACTGGCCAAGGCGGGTGCCAGCGGGGACCGCCCAATCACCCCACCAGTTGCCCCACAGATCGGCCCTGATCACCGGCCAGGCCTAGGGCCCTACCCATGCACAATTTTCATGCACTGGGCCTCTAGTGAGATAATAAATGCTATTGTTCTCCCACCATTACATTTGGGAGTAAGTTGTTTTGCAGATTAGCTGGCTAATGCGGGCTGGTGCTGGGTGGAAGAGCCAGGAGGCCGAGTGTGTCTGGGAGGAGTGTGTAAGAAAGAGAACATTGGGAAATGATGTCAGGCAGGTGACAGGGTGCTTAGCACAATGCCTGGCACATATAAATACAATGCTCAGTTTCATTTTGTTATATTCTTGGTTTGAAGATGTGCTTCCTCTGTTCCCCCTCCCCCATTTTATTTCCTTTTTAATACTAGAGGCCCGGTGCACAAAATACGTGCATGGGTAGGGACCCTAGGCCTGGCCAGCAATCAGGGCCAATCTGTGGGGCGACCAGCGGGGTGATTGGGGGCCCCCGCTGGCGTCCACCTTGGCTGGCCTGGGGCCTGCAGGCTGGGGGCAGCTCCTTCATTGAGCGTCTGCCCCCTGGTGGTCAGTGCACATCATTCCAGTTGGTGGACCAGTTGTTCCACCATTTGGTTGATTTGCATATTAGGCTTTTATTATATAAGGATATTTTTATTAATTTCAGAGAGGAAGGGAGAGAGAGAGAGAGATAGAAACATCAATGATGAGAGAGAATCATTGATCGGTTGCCTCCTGCACACCCCCTACTGGGGATCAAGCCCACAACCCAGGCATGTGCCCTGACCAGGAATAGAACCATGACCTTCTCCTGGTTCATAGGTTGACATTCAATCGCTGAGCCATGCCGGCCAGACTGTTTTTTTGTCTTGTTTTTTATTAATCCTCATCCAAGGATATTTTTTCATTGATTTTTAGAGAGAGTGGAAAGGAGAGGGAGAGACAGAGAGAAACATCGATGTGAGAAAGACATATCAATTGGTTGCCTCCAGCACACACCCTGACCAGGGCTGGAGAACGTGGCCTTGACCGGAATCAGTCTATGGGCCCACATTCTATCCACTGAGCCAAACTGGCCAGGGCGCCCCACAGCTATTTCTGAAGCAAACACATAAAAGCAAGCACTTATTGAAAGCTTCATATGTGCTAAACCCAGTTATAACAGCTTTATGTGGGTTAGTTTAAGTGTCACCTACACTGTAGATAACTTAATTTTACATGCTTCGAATATAAGAAAATGCAACACCAGAGAAGTGAAGTAATTAGATCAGGGTCACACAGGTAGTGGAGTGGAGTCAGGATTTGGACCCAAGCCTTCTGGTCCCAAAGTCCACAACTTAACCACCAAACCACAGTGCCTGTGCATTACTGACTGATTTAGACAGTATGTGGCAAATAGTAGGAGCTCAGTAAATGAGGGGCGTTATTTATCCCAGAGGAGTTTAGGGCACAGCAGGTATTATAAGTGCATGTTTGTCTGGTACGGCGAAGCCATTCCTAACTCGTGGGCCCTGAAGGCGTTCCCAATTTCCCTGTCATTTCCCCTAGAGTGGTTCTCAACCTTCTGGCCCTTTAAATACAGTTCCTCATGTTGTGACCCAACCACAAAATTATTTTCGTTGCTACTTCATAACTGTCATGTTGCTACTGTTATGAATCGTAATGTAAATATCTGATATGCAGGATGGTCTTAGGCGACCCCTGTGAAAGGGTCGTTCGACCGCCAAAGGGGTCGCGACCCACAGGTTGAGAACCGCTGCGCCTGGACGCTCTTCGCTCCTCAGATAATCCGGGCAGATGCGGGAAGACCGAATCCTAATGAATGGGATCGATTCTCTCGGTTCTCTTCCTTGCCTGTTTTGTTCTTGGTCCTCGGCGCTCCTCAACGACGCGGGCCTCCCTCGGGAGCCCGCCCCCGCATTGCCGTGCGCACGCGCACTATCCCGATTGGCTCCACCCCCAGAGGAGTGACGGGCAGGACCAACCAATGGCGTTGTGAGGAAGGTGGAGCGGCGCCTCGAGGACGCCCCACGGGCCCTGAGCACTGAATATTCATGAGGGAGGCGGGTTGACGCCGCTTCCAGCCGCGACCGGCGCCATGAAGTGAGAGGGGCCGGGGTTTGCGGCTCGCTAGCGGGAGCGGGGTCCTGGAAGATGGGGGGACTGGAGGGCCCGCCCGGG